ATACAACTATCCACGGTCGAATCACAGTCATTGCCACTTCCATTGCCAGACAATGAAGGCTAATTTATGCCCGTATGAGTTTTTACAAAAAAAAAAGAGAAAAAGCCAACAAGAGACAATGAGGATGGACACCGGCTGCTTAGCAATTGAACCTGCAAAATGACTTGAAGAATGAGCATTTGCCAGTGGTCTATCCGTGCTACCAGCAAGTTGGAATCATCTTATGCAAGAATCTAATGGAGGGATAGTTATAAATGTTTGAGTGAAGGTATTTCCAGTGTGACACTGGAAAATGTCGAAAGCCCTAGGGTGAGACCCTCGTTTTTGATGTCGGGGTGTGCAGAAGCACGAGCAGTGCAGATACGTTTGCGCCCTCGCTTTTTGGTACAGAGGTAATGTGTCGTAAGCGAAAAAGATGGGGTGGTGAGATCAGAAGACACTGTCAGGGAATACACCAGCTGAAAAGCCCCGCCCTAAACTCTTTCAAAGAGGGGTGACTGATAGAAGTACTTGTGGAATTCCTCAGTTTCGCATTCTATATACCCCGATTGATCTTCTCCTTCCATCTCGATAACACCACCTACCACTCCATCTACTACCTGTTCACATTTCAGTCGCTATTCTCTCTCCCGTGGCCAGCTTATTACGTCACCCTAAATATCTTAAGAATACAGTAGGGACTTGGGTTGCCGGGTTCAAGGAACACTGAATGTTTGAAAAGAAAACTTTGACTGTGGAGGCATAGGTAGCGATTTCTGGATGTAGTATGTATGAACAGCACCCTCTCGTTCCCATTCCTTTTCTGGATGCTTTTATTGCAAAGGACAGCGATGAAAAGAAGATCCTTGAAGGAAAAAGTGTTTACTACATCTGAATACCACCATTTTCGTCCTTGACTTTGCTACAATGGAATTCTATTCCTGTTTGAAAAAGCTGGCCTAACTGACACTGTCAGTGCAGAGTAGTTTCGTACTCACTTTTCAGACTCGCCTTTTGATAAAAACCCTGAACTACTTCTTTCTATTTGCTGCACGATCTGTTAGCGCTGGAGCACCTTTGGGTTCCAGAGCGTATTTACTCTCCAATCTTCACGATGGAAATTCTGATTTCATTCTTTGATGTTTGCTAAATTGGAAATCTACATCGCCTAAGTGAACGCGTTTTTATACTCTGTGCAGGTCGAGTATCTGTTTGATGAAAAGCTCCGTTTCCGTTGTACGAACGGTTTTTACAAGATGTTCAAGGAGCACAATGTTGTATGGGCAGGCTCCCAGTACTTCTGAGAAATTACGTGAGCTCAAAGTGCATTTCTGATCAGATTGCTGCAAATCTGAGGGGATCTATCGCCGTAATTCGTGCTGGCACCTTCATTTTTTGAATAACAAGGTTGAAAGCTTTTGACAAGACCGAGCGAGGCCGTCACCCATGTGACAATCTAATTCCGATGTACTGACGAGGGTGGCATGAGCACACCCAGACGCCAGTTACGAGACGGGACTTCTCACATCGTTTTCCCCACGGTCCGCGGATCATTTCCCTTGTTTCTTTTCGGCGAACAGGGCGATTATTTCGTCGTTGTTCCCATTTCACCTATGACTAATTCGTTTCTCGGAACATTGGTTGCTATCCAATATTAAGTCATTGGGCATGTGCCTCATTGAGAGGGAGGAACTGTATGGATCAGAAAGTGAGACGGAGCCACACGACCACCCACTAGTAGGAGACATGCGTTTATACATTTTCCTCTTCAGGAAATGGGTTCCTCACAATTTCCTTGACCCATTCTCCAGAACAACGTCTACCCTCAATTACAAATATTCCGTCACTCAACCATGAATAGGATTTTCAAAGCCAAATCGTCCCTCTGCACTTGTTCTCTGTGTACCGACAGTCGAGGCAATTAACTCCGACGTTCGCTCAACGAGGCAAACGCTCACCGTGGCGTTCGAAACAACCATATCTACTCAGGAGAGGAAGGATGCATTGTGGGTAATCAAGTTTCGGTCCTTAAACATCGCAAAATATCAATAGAACCGTTTAAGTTGGAAAATCTGCAACTTTCCCATTTAGTATTAGGAATTATTTAAGGACGAAGATTATGGAGGTGAGTTCAGGTAGAAAAATTCAAAAACAACGGCATGAGTCTCAGGGCAATCTGAAAATCAAGGTGACGTTCACTCCAGTAATAACAGCTGTGAAGGGTTACAGAAAAAAAAAACGAAATTCGAGTGAAAAGAAGAGGGTCGAGTGAGAAGAGAACGGCGAGCTAAACAGTAAGAAAGGGACCGTTTATAGTTAGCGAATCTCGAGATTCCCTCGTTTTCACAACTTCAGGATCCACGAGTTCGATACGTATGTCATGCTGGTAGCGGATTTGCCCTGTAGGTAACAAAGCGCTAATTTGAAGTAATGCCGAACCGAGAAGCTTATCCCTCTTACGATGCCAATGACCCCACTTTTGTAACGACGGTCGGCTAACTCCACGTAACTTCCATCCTCTTAACGGTCCTAACTTTCTCGGAAAGCTGCTTTTGGCAAGAAGGCAGCTATATTCGACGAAGTTCTTCGAAAGTTCCAGATTAATCTTGTTTACTGGTCTGTGCCTGAACACATCTGAAAAGAAGAACCTCGCTTTTCAAACCACCTTTGCATGTCTTTGAAAAAACTTACGTTCAGAAGAAAGTTTCACACTTAGTGGGCTAGGTTAAGTGCTCTAATACCACTATTACTCTGGATGTTGATCACATTTTTCGCTCTGCGCTTGATTCCCTCGTTTCCGCCTTACTCTCGATCTTGTTTTATCCCTCTCTTTGCTGCTTGTTTGTTTTTCGTTACTGGTATGTGTACCATAATTGATGGTTCTTAAGCAGACTGGTCTAATACTCGTCTGCAACGCAGTCCCTGGATGCACTAGGATCGAATTAAAAGCTCTGCAACGAGCCAGTCGCAGAGCAACGAAATTTTAGTAAGGAAATCCGATTCCTACAATTCAATAGAATGCAAAAATGCAGGCAGAATTTCACAGACGGCGTCTTTCATTGCATGGCTAACCGTATTTGAACGCTAAACTTTTTCACCCTCGCATATACGGTCCATCGAAAAAGCACCTTGGGTAAGGAGATGGGGTTGATATCTGGTCGGGTGGTAACGAGTGTGTGCTGAGTCGCGGCTATGACCCATGGCCGATAACCGTAAAAATCGGGTTCAGTTCTGAATTCTCACCGCCCAGGCCTTCCACACCGTTCCAGGATGCGCCATGTATTCGGCTTTCGGGCAGAAATGTGGTGGGCAATTAGGTGGCAAAGTGGTTTCAAATCCACTGCGCTAATCACTTGAGGTGCTCCTGGCTTTGTTTGTTCAAAGCAGCTATAGTTGTGATGTAGATCCCCTGATGTTACGGGTGTTCCAATACGCATGGTCAATCATGTCCAGAAGAGGACCATCCCTCAATGGCGAATCTTCAGAAAACATCTTTCATTATCGGATAAAATAAGTGCAATACTATGATGAACATAATTACTCGTGACCTTGCTAAGTACTCTCCCGAAGAACCAAAAAACAGGCACCTTGAAGGCACAGTTCACGATGATTCCAGATAGTGGGTGGTGAAGAGAAGGCGGAAATCGGCGTACTCAGAGAAATATATGGCTTCAAAAAAGTGAAACTAAGGATTGGTCGAGAATGATATGACAGAAGTTGATTGAGGGGGGACTTGGACGGGTTGTTCAAATGCGCGCTCCACTGCATACACCTTGTTGCAATGCGCTGCCTGCGTGCAAGGTGTAGGTCCCGGTGCGAATGGTGCAACCTCCATTGCTTTCCCAACCCTTACGAGCTCGTCCACCTTCGGTGTGTAAGTCGGCTCAGCTTGTTCTGGGGCCCTTATTACGCCTTGTCTTGGGCGTTTTTCGGCTCAGCAGCCGTCCGTTAGGTTATCCTTGAGGGCCACAGGCTTCCAAGGGAGAAATCTCAGAAACCGTTTTGAACTTGAATTGTGCCCTTAACACTCTGCGTACCGTCCCACATGCATAGTCCGAGGGTCTAATCCTGTATCGATACTGGGCCAGGCTAACCAAAGCTTCAATTTCTCTGGCTTGGTAAATAGGCACCAGGCTCGTCTGGGAGAGCACTGACTTGACATTGGCTGGCCACCGCAAGCCATTCTGTAGGCTATATACGCATTCAAATCGCCACAACGATTATGAATGGAAGTCGAGTGCGGGGCGCATCCCGGGAAGCGTAATTGATTGGAGCCAAACATTTTATGTCAATAAGAGCCAGATATTTTATCTCTTACCTTTTTATAATACTGTAAAAAGCTACCATTACGCTTGTATTGCGGGATTCAACATTCGGGTAACCGAAGTGACGAGTCTTTTGGGAACCCGTTCCTTTTGCATTCCAATGAAAATCGCCCGATGCGACCAGGCTTACATCAGCATTCTGGCCAGATCAGAGGATATTTTGAGGACCGAGTGAGTGCACTTCCTCAACGTAACAACCTTTTTCAGACAGTGCAGCCCAATGAGTCACGCCCTCCTACTGGTTTCCCAAGCGTGCCCTGAAGATGCACTTTCAGCGCTGTTTTCATTTCTTTTTCATTATCGTTTTCGCACGCCAAACGATTCACTTCTGGTGGGCCATTTTCCTCGCCGTCTCCTCTGTGAAAGCGTTCCACGTGATCACCTCCTATCATCTCAAAACGGAAATATATACGTTTTTCTGCAGTTGTGATCGATTTTCCTGCTTTTCGGGGGACTTCTTTTCCAATTCTTTGCTGCCTCCTCTGTCTGTGTTGCGTCAGCGTGAAATCGAACTGGATAGCTGTTGTTTACGTTGTTCCGCATTAGGAAATGCTTGAAAAGTTGTCGAATTGCGTCCTCTAATAGAGATCGGATTGGTCAGTTGTGCGTTCAGATGGCCGGCGCCGCGGACGCTGCTGCCGCCGGCTGCGCATCCCCTCCATCACAATACGCTGACTAATCATTCGGCTACTTTACTCATCGCTTGGTAGGCGTAACATGCCGACACCACCACATCACGTCCGATTCGAACGTCGCAGACGATGAGCATCGCAGACGAAGCTGATCCGTCAAGAGTCTCCTCCTCGGAGTTCCATCCACTCCCATCGATCCAACAATGCCATATCCACGACCACCGGCAGCAGCCTACGGAGGACGACAGTCCGACGACGGCCGATCCTACTATTCCCCCCATACCAAAACCACGGACCATTAAACTATCGCCGTGTGGAACTCGCAAGCCACTACCACCTCCACGAAAACCACTACTGTCGTCGTTTGTCAATATTCGACCTACCCAAGTAGAACGACCACCGGTCAATGTTATTATTGATCTGAACAATAGTCTCTGGCGAAATATTCAAATTCAAGATATGGAAAAGAAGGTGACGAAGGACGAATCTGTGATGGCCATCCTTCCAGAGCAGCCATCGAGCTCGAAAGTGCAGCGTCTTCGTAACAGGTGAGCGTTTTCGTTTTCTTCGCTAATTTACTCCTCCATAAGTTGGGGCCGGGGTCAGGGGTTTGTAAGCAGGATCCCTGCTTTACCCTCAACTTTGCCCTCTCAGCAGGCATTAGTCGAGGTTTTGTTGAACTCGATGAATTTTTTTTTAGGTTTTTGGTTTTTTTTTATAATTTATTCCTTTTTTCTCTAGATTTTTGTCAAACGAGGGGTGGGATTCTTCTAATCCTATTCCCTATTGCGCTAGGTGATTGGCTCGGGAAATTTGAGAGAAATTTTCATAGCATTATCTCGGTGTTAGGCACAGATACCAAGCCTACTCCCAACTACCATCTCCTACGGCTCCCCCTTATTGAAATCCCACTTAGGTGTACCTATAAATAACACCTTGTTGGGAACATTTTTCTGAAATCTTACTGCTTTGTGTGTACCTAATGGGAGTGACTCTCAGTAAAAACGATTTATCGCCATTATTTGAGGACATATGACCTTTTAGTATAAACGTGCAAAAATTTTGTTTTGGCCTATATTTTTAGATGCTCAAAGATTTTTTTCATTCCTCGGGCTGAATTTTTATAAAATTTTGTTATTACTGGACTTGTGACAAGCTGGAGAAGTTTTCGGTTTGTTCTGATTCGGATCGATTTTATTTGCTTTGAAGATCACTTGAAGTTTCTAAAGTGGCCGAGTTATTCCGGTTTGCATTCACTGTATCAAGTTTTTCCAATGAGTTTCCTATGATCGTTCATCGATCGTTTTGAATGCTACCAAGCAGCATTGATCGTTTTTATTGAAGATTTCGATACACCACTTGACAACCTTTTTTACTCGGCAACCTCTTTGGTGCGTTACGATCTTTATTGTTAAACTCGCTTTTTTGAATGGTCTGATTGGGGTCTAAATCCTGCACACCTCCTCTACCTTCGCTGGGAATACTGGCAGCTGAACACCCAAAAAATCGGGAGAATTCCCGTCGTTGCTAGCCCGGCGTCCACTTTCGTCCGTGTGAAATGACTAATCGTGACTCGCCCTGATGCGTACCCCCCGACGACGCACGGCCGTCCGTTCGGTCCGAACGCATTCGATCGAATGCCATTTTCGTGTCGAAAAAAACCCCTGTCGTTCGGCCGATCACAACGTTCAAATGCCCATTCCCCACCGACTTATCAAAGCTAAGATCAATGTCGTCAAGAGCCAAGAACGGGGAAAGGAAGTTATCCTGAGACAACAGACATTTCATTCGAGCGACATTACTGTTTATTTCAAAACAGTTACGTACAAACTTTGGTGAAATTTCGGTCGGAGGGGGGGGGGCATTCGTTTTTGTGTAGTTGCCTGCGCTCTCTCAGTAAGACCGTATACTGCTGACCTACTCCTCTTCCATCCATACTTTTCTCATGGAGTCATCATATCACTCACCCCTTTCCTCTCCCTGTCCTTGGATTCAAGCTAAACCTCCATCGCCGTAGCTCAGAATCGTTTCTTCTACCACCCAGTCCTACAAAGCCTTCTCTGGTCCAGCTTGGCGATGGAGAAGCAGAACATAGTGTGGTGGTTTCCTCCAACTACATCTTCATCGGAAATTCAAATCAAAATCAGGGTCAATCAATCCAATAGCAGCGAAAAATTTGGTGTAAATTAGGTAGACCCTACTGGTGATTAAGTCGGTTCCTTCCCGACAGTAGGAACCGTCCCCTAGTAGTTACTATCCTCGTCAAATTAATGCTTGCCAAATGGGTTTTCCTTCCAGATACCGTAGTCCAGTTTAATCCCATGGGAAGAGATTTCATGTCAGGGCAAATTCTGTACAGAAGTGTCACCTTCTTGAGTATTTCGTGTAAAATGGGTAGGTGCAAAATCCAGTACAGTCACTCGGTTCCTACAGTAATTAGGCTATGGGTCCTGGCGCGAGTCTGCTGCAACCGTGTCCTTACCCATGGTCCCTTTTCGGTACGTCGTATATGTGACGGGTGAGAATTTAGGTATTCAGTTACGGTAATGCCGTGAAATGAAATATGTTGCCGAGGAAATTCTGCGTCCAGTGCATTTTATTTCACGGCGAAGTCACTGTAAGAGCCGAGTGCTTATACTGAGTTTTCGTTCCTGTCGAGACCAACCAGTAACCCAGTTTTGTTGGTGGTCAATTTTTTAATGATAGTTGGAAGTATTGTGAAATTAACCTGAAAATAGTAGTAAGACTAATTATTGTTCTTTGTTATTTTGTTCAGAACTCAGTAGCCCTCTAAGACATCCATTGCGTCTCATTAAAATGATTATTTCTTTAGTACCGTTAAAAAACGATCCTTTTGTGCATTAGCGTGACAGATTATCCGATTTTTGTTTAGACAAACAAGCGTATCGGTAAACAGTTGTATAAATAACCGTATGATTGCTTTGTAAAACAGTAGGCTGTAGTGAACAATTGAATGAATGAACTTGAATCATCAAATTCATATACCGCTGGGAATATATTGGTGCGTCGGGAGCGAAAATAACCTTTTTTACCAATTGATGGGGGACCAGTGTTCTCGAGTTTTTTTTAGCTCTGTTGATTGCCCATGCTGATTCACCCTTCTGACTGCGATTATACTGCGATGACTTTACGCCTGGTGGGATCGGTGTAATGGCGGATTGGCCATTAATTCTGAACAGTCATTAGCAAGAGCGAAAATCACAGGTGCGAAATGTTAGTTACGAGCAATAGCTTCGTTTCGGCCAGCAACTCGTTCTTTCAGTTGTAGGATGTCGTTTTTTTTCCTCTGGCTCGACTCCAGAGCAATATCTGGACGAGTTTTTATCTTGAATCAGGCTATAGTCTAAGATTTCCACCACGAACTATGTTCCGTCACGTTCCAATTTGGGAACTTGCACGTGGGATGGGTTAATTGTATCATTCGGTCAATATTTTTACCATTCGAACTTCTAGGGATGCCTCTAGGCTGATGTATGGGTATCGGCCTGCCCTAATTGGCGCCTTTCTTCCTACATCCCATGAGTGTCTGGGTAGTTTTCCGTGGTAGTCTATTTCTTCGTTCGAGTTCCTTACTCGTAATGTGTGTAGTGATTCATCGGAAGTCCCGTCTCGTTCGCCAGTTGACCCTCGAACGAACCACCGCACCGCAGAGGAAACGGGGGGATATTTTTGGCGAGGGGATGTCTGTGCAAATAAATTTCCCCCACGATGTGCTGGGATGGTGTACCCTGTCAATAGATTTAATAGACTCGTTTTCGGTTTCCAGGAAATCGTACTAACTCATTACTGCTTCGGAAATACTGCATTTGCCTGTACGTTTGATTTTTGGCGAGGGGATGTCTGTGCAAATAAATTTCCCCCACGATGTGCTGGGATGGTGTACCCTGTCAATAGATTTAATAGACTCGTTTTCGGTTTCCAGGAAATCGTACTAACTCATTACTGCTTCGGAAATACTGCATTTGCCTGTACGTTTGATTTGTTCACGTAGTATAAGGGTGCCCTGAAGCCCTAAAATTGGGAGGTTTGGGCGAAAATCTTTGTGGCTTCCTTCTCTTGAGCGTTTATTTCTTTTTTTCTCAGAAACCTCCTTTCAACACAATTTTGATTCGATGATTTCGATATTTTCGTGGCTTACACGTGGGCTCTTATACTGCATTCCTACTGGTTCATGCCTTTTGATCTTTTTTCCAATGATACTTGTTTTTCCTAAGAACTGATGTGGGAACGTTGACTATGTGACGTTTGTGATTGATTGCAAAGATCGGCGCGAATGGCGTTTTTTGGGCTCCAATTAGGTTCGGCCCGAGTTCGACGTAGAGCTATTGTTAGAGGAGTCGTTCCTTCTGCTTCATGGCCTTCGTTCTCGTCTCACTAACCACCTACCATGAAAGACGAGTTTTCGAGTTTACCCTCGCTTCGTTGGATTCGCTACTGTCGTTCTTGAAATAGCCTCCATACTGAGAATATCGCTACTCTGAACCGAAAGGGTCAAATTCGCCCCTTTGCAGCACAGCTGGGTTTTGTTCGGGACTGATTTCTCATCAATGAATGAGCAAATCTAGTCAAACTGTCACCGATGAACCTTATTACTTTATGTTTTCAATCTTTGTATATTTTTAAATAATGGGCATGTTTTTTAAGCAGCTTAAGGCAGTTGCAAGATTATCTATCTATTTTGCATGCGATAGCTTTGGACGGTCCTTAAGGAACATCTGGTTCCTCCCCAAACTGATTACTCTTGACGGTTTCTGGCTGTCACTATAGTTAGATCTTTTCAAGGAGCCAGACAGGGTTCAATCTCGATCATTTTCAGAAAGTTCCTTTTCCGAAAGTGTCCAAATTCCTTCCTTACCCAGCAAAAATCTCGATTACAGGCGAAGCTACGACAGTGCCAGTGAATGTGATATTGAGTCGATTAGTGTACAAATGGAAGATTTAACGCCATCTGAGGCAGAATTGAATCCAGGTACACTTCTTTCTCTCCTATTCTTCTTTTTCGTTTTTTTTATATGGAAAATTATGAGTGCTACTCGTCGTTTCCCACAAGTATTCAGTGGATTCCTTTGCATTTACGTATATTTCTCTTTCAACTTGTTTGTTTGCTATGGTAGTCGCTTAAACCATTGATTTAGTCTTTTTACCTTTTGAATTTAAGTTTTCTATCTTTATCCCTACTATAACTAATACGTTGGTAGTCCGCTAGTCAGACAGTAAGGAGCGAGGTAGCTTAGTAGCCAGGCGGAGATCGCACCACTTTCGCGGACCGAAACCTGTCCAGGCCCACCATGTCTTCGTTTTCTTCGGTGTTGTTCTAATGCAAAAGAGGATTTGACTCATTATATGCCACCTCTTAAGCTACTTCTATGAAAAACCATCTTTTGTTTGCCATTGCGATTCAGATTTGAATAAGGTGGTAGATATTTCTGTCATTCATTTCGTAGCGGTTAATTGACTTTGATTATGGTCCTAGCTTTTCTGTTTATGCGTATTCCAGTACTAGTTATTAGTTGCTTGGTACAGTTTTTCTGTGAATTACAATACATTCGGCTTGTTAGAGACTGCACGGCTGAATGTGTAGATACCAATTACTGGGCGACCATGCTTAGAGTGCCTCGAACTGGTTACTAACGCTAGTCTTTCGGTCCTGAACTCTTGTTTTTACGCCAACCCTTTCTGCACCTGAATTTGGGCTCTGATTTGTTTCAACGAAGCTTCCTCCTTGCGATTTTCTCTGATCCTTCGCTTATTTTATGGTTATCGAATAAATCTGTGCCACGTAATTTCGATGTTCTCCCACTCCAAGCACTGACATGTGGCTGTCATCTTGCTTAGGTCGTTTCTTCTTTCTCTTGTGTAACATTACCACAGCTTATTGGAACTTACGCTGGATATGATTGAATGTTTTGCTTTAAATCAAAGATCGTACCTGTGTCCCTTCATTGCACTCTTGTCCCTCGCCCTTCCAAAAAACTTCCTCTCACATTCAGCCTGAGATCCTTCTTTAGGATATGGGAGGTGTTCAGGAAACTTGAGCTCATCTATGAGTCGTTCTTTAAAAGCTTGTCGGTCCCATCCCACTCAACGCCCAGACGACCTACTCGACCATATGAATTCTTATCGAAATTTTCGCTGCTACCTTTATTTCAATTGTATATTTGTATTTAATTGTATAATTATAATGAATAAGGGAACGGACCCAAACCTTTAAGCATCATGAATTGATGACATTTACCATTTCCTTGTTATACATTCTATTCTTTTTCGTTAGAAACTAGGCTATAGCTTGTACGGAAACTTGGAGTGTACGGTCATTTTAGCGAGCTTCTTCCGCGGTCATAAAACACTTTCTCAGGTGGATACGCATTCCGTAATGTGATTTCCCATGTCTATACTGTTTTCCGCGTTTACTGTGGGAACCAGAGCGTAGAGATAGAACTGTTAGGTGTTAAGAGCGTAACAGCCCTGCTTCAAAAAGGTGTAAACCATTACAAATTCCTTTTGATTCATAGAACTTCAGCATTCCATCCGAAATTTCCCCATTATTCAATTTGTTATTAAGTTGACTAGAGTTGGGTGTTTTTTGGGGCAGGAGTAGCTCACTATTATGCATCGAAATCTTTACTTTACGAGGTAGAAGTTTTGATGAACTGAATCATCGGTCACTTATTCAAACTCTCCCACAGTTTTCTCATATTCTACAGACGTCCTGTCCCTTTGCCGGATCCTTTTACTAATTTTCCACGCTTTTATTGCTACAGTAGAACTATTATATTTTAGCATTCGCTTCTGGAAGTTTCGAAACAGACAGAATCATAGGTGGAGTGGACAAGACCATGATGCGGATGGGCCCGGAATGGGTAGTTCCTCTACAGTATTCTAACAGTCCAATCGTTCAAGAGTTGGCGGAATCAGGTGAAGAGGTGGGTCATGTTGAAGATTCCCTCGTGTTTGTAGTTGCTTATAAAGTTTCGTTCGATTAAAGTTGAAACTTATGGAAAAAATTTCCTTTTCGAAAGAAAAGTTTTGGAGGCTTTCCAATTTTTAGTCTAATTTGCAGAGCTGGATAATAGGAGAGAGTCTCACATATCTTGTATCCTTTGCCCAAAACAAACTTTTTCGAACTCTCTTCAATAGAGAAAATAAGAAACGTTTTCAAATATTCCGTTCACTTCGGTGTATTCGGCTTTTCTCTTTGTTTTCTAAAGTGGTGCAATTAAAGAGCACACCACAAGAGTCCGACCTTTGCTGCTTTTGTCTCTCCTTCCCTCTATCTATTCCTTTTCAACTCGGCTCTTCTACTTCTTCTTCGCAAAGTTTTTCTTGATACCGAATTTAGTTTCTGTTTTCTTAGCACTTCGCAAAATCTGCGGGACCATTTCTTCATGCTTCCATTAACCGTCCGAATTCAACATGATATCTCATGGAGTTCCCACATCACGTATATATCGTGTTGATTCTCTACCAGAGGTGGTTTCCTTTTCCAGCTTTCCTTTAGTCCTAGCAGTTCCCGTTTTTATGGATGAACTCGGTTGAACTTTTTTTTTGATCTCAAGGAAATGTCTATTTGCTTTTCCATTGTTATCGGAAATCGTACGCAGAGTAGCACCTATTATTGTGGTAGTTCCTTGGCAGAAGTGTCACGAAAAGTTAGGGTCCGTCTCGCTAGGACATGTCTTTGAGCCTCCTAACAGATGTGACTGTAACATTTACCCGTCCAGTACTTTTATCTTAACCACCGATTTTATTCTTTAGGATACTCCGTAAGCGAAACAATTCTATAATATTTGTGACCCGTTTGGTGAACTGCACCCACCTTCCTATGTACCACCTACAACTCGTTGTAGATAGCCTAGAATATGCTGGATAATCTTGCTGATAGGCTATAACTAGACTATCGATGATGATAAAATCATTGTGTCTTACTTTTATGGAACTCACCACTTGGCTATTCATGAATTGCGGTGATAGGGTCTAATGGTAAATGTAAGGTTTTCTCTCCAATAAATAAACCACTCCGTCGACGCACCACCTTTATCACGACAAAAATGTCTTGAACATGGTTATGTACGTTTGATCTCAGTTCATACTCCAAGAGTATGGCCTATAGGTTTTCATGAAATCAAGTTATTATTAGGGAGGGCGCGCGCATATTAGTTGGTGGCAGACAGACTAACGGGTATCTGCTGCTCGGATTGTTCGTAGCTCCACCCATGTCATTGCAAACCCCGCCCACTATCAAAATTTGAGGGTCTATATTAGGCGAAGCTTTAATTCACCCTTGCATAGCACACCTTAGACATTGCTCTAGCCAACACTTTTTTCTAACCTCTTCTTATAGGCAGAGTTCACGTTAAAAATGTCTCCTGAAAAGTTCCCCTACATGAATCCGTGGCCCACGAGGATTACCTTAGAGACTGCCGGGTCGAAAAACGGTGTATAAAGACTCTAAAACCGGCTTAGCCGACGTACGAACCCAAGAGGGATGAGTTATCAAACTTTAAAAGCAGTAGAGGTTGCAGCATCCGCACCGGGACCCACAGTTTGCACGCAGGCAGCTTACTGCAGTCAGCTGTATGCAATGGCGCGCACTATTGAAGAGTTCGCTAAAGCACTCCTATGCCATTCCTATCTTCACATTCTCGTGTGACGCATAATTTTACATCTTTTTTGAAGCCTTATACTTATCTAACTACGCCGATATCCGCGTTCTCTTTGCCAGTTTTGCATTACTCTGGACCATCACTTCCATTACTCATCTAAAACGAGATACCATAAAATGATCGTTAAGTGTGCCTCGGGCCAAAACAAGAACTTTTGTATTTGGCACCGCTCATTCCGGTGCATGTCCCGGGCTCTGCCCCGACCCAACCTTTATGGGTGTCTTTCAGGCAATACCGAATTTCGTGACAGACAAGCAGACAAACATGCACAACAAACGGCTTCAGCCCTAGTCGCTGTTAAATCACCATTACATCATTTTCTGCGGCCCATTTCCATCAATTTTCATTTACCACTTCCGTCACATCACCGAGGAAGGCGTGCGGCTTTCCGGACCTGGTCTTTCTAACATTCCTTTCCAAGTATTACTACTTCTTGTAGTATTCGATCACTCGACAACTATGTCTTCGTGCTTTTCAGCCGTTATAGAAATGTATTATTGTCTACATTTTTCTACAGAAAGGCGTGACAATGTCAATGACCATCTGGTTGATGGCTTTCATCCCCATGAGTTGTTCTTAGCTCATGCATTATCTCTTTCAACAGTTATGAAGAAAAGTTACGTTAGCAAAACGAAAGGATTTATGGATCCAGTAGCATTCTTCTTTCTCTCTTCTCATTATCATTCATTAAAAGTTAGCACTTTGTAGTACTATCATCCCAAAATTCTGCAAAGCGCAAAAGTGCTGTTACATGTATGAAGTTCTTTTTACAACCCGTCGGGTTGCAATGTAGTTTCGCATAGCGACCTTAACCGACCTTGTAATCTATCACCGACCATCAGTTTCCCTTTCGCGTCTTTTTTTCCCCGTGCAAAGTTCATTTCAGATTCAACCCGGTCCAAGAGGCAGGTCGCACAGTAACAGTTATCTTAAGCTTCCAATGGGTAACAGAATGATTACAATGCGAATTCGCTGCGTGCGGCAAGCGGAACAATTTTGCGGCTATGATTTGAGCGACTATCTCCGCTACGCAAAGTGCTACCCTTAAATCGAAGCTAGTGTGCGCCATGACATGACAGTGTACATCAGAGGTAGAAACCTTCCAAGATCCACATACTGAACATTTGAGTATTCGCACGGTACAGTTTCAAGAAATCCTGATAGCAGCGATACTTCCAGCTCACTCTGTATCCCTCATGTTGTGATTATAATCTCAGTCGTCAACAGTGAGCTTCCGTGCGATGATAGGACTAACGCTGCTCTCTTCTGCAGAGAGTTTGTTCTTTATGTAGCTCACGGTCAGAGCAAACCTCTGATCATTCCGGTCAAATAAGCTTTCATGACTAGAAGTGGGAGTGGTGGACGTGTCGGGAGCATTTAGTGCAGCTGAACGCTACTATTGAAATCCGGAACTAGTAGTAAAGAAGATGCAAAAAAATGAGTAAAAGTGGACAAATTCGTATTCGTTCGTATTCTACGGTTGTTTATATTCCAAACCAGGAGTGTAACCAATTCTTAGGCTTCCTATGGAGGTAAACTGGATGTGCCCCAAATAGTCTTGGTCGTTAGGTAAAGCACATACTTGACGGCAACCCGAAAATTCATCGATTGTTTTTTCTGCAACAATTTTTCTCCAATTATTTGAATCAACAAAGTTGTCAACTACAGTTGAGTTCGATAGAGGGCGAGATCTGAAGGTTGGGTGAATGGTTTACCCATTAGGCTATATTTATAGAATTTTTGGCGGTATTTACCCTTTACTGTCCCACTTTGTCGAAAATGGGATGGATTTCTATCGAATTTTTTTCAAGTATATGAAACAGACCAGCAATTTGCCTAGAGGGGCAATTCGACACGAAGAACCCGAATATCGCATCCACTCGTCATGAAGATGCGTAGCGCTCGCGCCACAGGAGCCGGGGTTGAATGGAGCTGGGTCACCAATCTTGCTGAAAACTTGCCCCTGAGTGAAGTGTTAGAACAAGGGTGTGGTGCAGTAGGAACGAAATGTCGCGCCGCGATGGGAATGACGTCGCGCGCGAAGGAATGTGGCAGAGTGCAGCAGCAAGTAAGGAATAAAGGAACAAACGAACTAATAGTAGAATCATGCCAAAAGTAATAATCGTATAGCGATTGAGCTGTATGAAGAACACTAGAACTGTTATAATGAGGTAAGTGGTCCGCGACAGCCGCATGCGGCGGGTCGATTACACAAGACCGTTCCTACTGCCCGTCTCCCCTAGAACAAGGCAATTTTTATGACGAATGGATGCGATATTCGTGTTCTACGAGTCAAATTACCCCTCTGGGCAAGTTTCTAGTCGGTTTGATCTTCTTGAAAAAAAATTCGAAAGAAATCCAGCCCATTCTCGACAAAGTGGGGCAGGGAAGGGTAAATAGCGCCAATTCTTTTATCAACATATTTTCATCCTCGCCATCCTTTTGAGTGCCAAAGGCTCACTAATGAGTTCATAAAACAATCGCATGAGTGTGCATGATGAATAATAGCAGCATTTAGCGGCCAAAGCCTCCTTTGGTCAATCATTATGCCAGTGCAGTCACTGTGCAGGTGTCGGCGTCCAAAACACCGCCTCATCGAAGGGTGTCTCTGCTTGAGCGAATAGTGCGTAGCCATCCTATTTGGTAAGCTTCTTTTTCAATTAGTCTGTTCAACTGTACCCTTTTTTGTTAGTTTGTTAGTATTTGTAGACCTGTTTTCGGCTAAATTTGAATGTTTCATTATTTACTTTAGGTATCTACAACACCTTGGCCGTCCTGCAGCAACTCATTTGTTGAAACAGATGGAACCAGGTGTAAGTAGAGAAGCTTCATGCAAGAATTATTAAGTGTTATTGGGTGATTTTCCGAACTTTCCAGAATTTTATCGTTCGGTCATCTTCGAAACCCGGTTGCATGGCGATATCAGTAAGGTTGCCAAATGAGCATGAAGCTCTGACCGATCACTACATTGTGCAGTACGGGGCCAGAGGAAATGTCGTGCGTTTTACATTTCATTCGCCAAAATTCTACACAATTCGCTTTTCTGAAACCTTACGTTTGTAGATTCGATTAGAGAGTAGTCCGTACTCGTTCAGTTCGCTACCGCTGCTGATCGAACACTACTGTCTTCATCCGTAAGCCTGTTTCTAGTCATTTGGATAATTATTTGAGGGTTTTTTGCCAACTTCTCAGCTCGGTTTTCAAAGCTGTTTTTCAGAGAAGAACTCCAAATCTGCTTGTGCCTTCCGTATGCAGTTTTAGCTTGCCAGACGACGAAGGAACTTCAATCTTTGGCTTTGTTGGGTCAAGGTAAATGTGTTGTTGAGGTCTAAACGATACGGCTATACTTTTACTATTGGATCGGAGTAGCGACCTTTAGATCTTCATTTGATGCTATCCCAACTGAGCTATCGAGGCACTCAGCGCTGAGATCGCTTACGTTTCATTAACATTAGCCAGAAAACAGGAAGTGTACCCCTTATCTTATCAATANCACAAGCATGGTCCCAATCGCAGATGATCCTTCCCTCCCCTGAAGAGCTGCATAGAGGCTGTCAAATTTGCGTAGTGATCAGTTACCTCCGAGTAACCCATAGCTGTCAGCGAATCGTGTTGCGATGTTGTGAACAGCATTACATCCGAATGACATGTGTTGTGGTTCTGATGTCAGTAGCTTCGACGCCTGCATGGGAAAGGCTTAGGGCTCCGCTCTGTTAGTTACACTACTTCAAAATTTCGCATTTTTGCCCTGTTAGTTGTAGAATTTTTTTATAATTTTTTGGAAGATATAGTTTTGAAACATCAAAAGCACTGATTCCTCAGTATAGGGGCAGAGGCATTACTATGAGTGCTGCCCTCGATGTTTGACAGCAATCTATCGCTTGAAAGTGAACCTAATGATGGTGGTTATTTGCAAAGAGTACGATTGGGATTCACACAAAAATCAGTGTCAGTAATGTAAAAAAGTGGTCAGTGTATTGCATTCAATGATTCCAAACCCTGCATCCTGAAATTGCTATTTTGACGATTTGCAATTAGGACAATTCGGCGATATGGCTGAATAATGCATATCGTATCCAGATCATTGTTGCCGTATCTCGGAAGATCGTAAATTCTCGATCGGTTCTCGGTTTCACTAGGTATCGGAGGAAAGATCAGCGTGTGTCTGGATCATATTCGATAAATCCTTTTGCTCTTTAGTCAACCTTTCATATAGTTCTCAAGAAGTCACAAGCTAGAATTTACAAAAAAAGATATTCAGTAAAGGAATGGGTGCCGGCTCACAGTAGGAGGATCTTTATTGTGATGATAAAAGTGATGCTGTGAATCATGGATGAGCTTTTAGAGTGTGTGTGTGGGATTTTACACGTCATATGATATGGTCAAAAGAAAGGCAGCTGTATTACATGCTTGCGGACCAGGGATGTTTCTTAGGAGTTCAGAGCGAGGAAATGATCAAGAGCACACCGACTAGCTAACCGCTCTGGGACAGTGATGAATAAATCATGTCTGTTCCCAATGACAACTCAAATAAAGAAAACCCGTCAAAGAGTCTGAGCCTCCGGCATCATTTTGCGAATCTTTGCAATTTTTTTTCTTTAGACTTTGACCACGCTGAAATGTTTGGAATGCTGCAACATACATCATCTTTACTAGGATACAGTCAGAAAATAGTGTTCTTCAAAATAGGAATCAGATTGCTTAAAGGGACAGTTCACGATAAAAATGGTTTCTGAGATTACCCCACAGGATGAATTTTAGTCTATCCTCGGTCGAGTTTCATCGGCATTGCAGAGGCGGCACCGATTACAGGGGAACCCATGTAGGGAGTTCAAACGTCTTGTAGTTCTGTAGCTAGCATAGCTACAGAACTGTCTTTCATAGCTCTGGCTTGATGTAGTCAGCTCTTTGTGCAATTGCAATAACTAAAATCTCGTCCGAATACCCCTTCCATGTTGTTTCGTCATGGCAATCTCGTCCAACCTTTATTTTCCCTACTTTTGATGAGCCATATTTTTCTCGAAATCGGCGAATTCTCTCGCTTTCTTCACTACCAAGAACTATTCCCGATCTATACTTACGCTTTTCGAATAAAAACGGGCACCTCGAAATTATCGTGAACTGGGCCTTTAATCTTTCCTTAATGAACTGTACTGGCAAGTCTGAAGGAGAATCTAACTGAAATTGAATATCCATTTCATTATCGATTCCGTTTTTAACCATGAGTGATCGGGATGATAACCAGAAGTAGGCTAAATTTTTAAAATGTAGGAAATCTTAATCTCAAGGTCATCTAGTTCTGAAAAACTCTCGAATGACTACGAATAACTTATGTAATTAATCGAGTCTCTGTAAAAGAGGTCCGGCTGATGGCTCGTTTTGATAAAAACGTAGGGAATTTTTTTATCAATTGAAATTGCCCATAACTGTACAGGATGTCCTGTACGTCGCAAGAAAAATATCTGCCGCTGTAGTACTCAAAGTCCACAGCTCCAAGTCGGCCTTCTTTTTCTTATTGAACCTGTAGGTAAATTCCTTTGATTCTTTCTTTGTTAAATGAAATTCACCACATAGCGTGTGTTCAATGCGTTGGTATAGAAAGGCCGTGGCCGTCCACTTATGTAGGAATGCCATAATGCAGCAATTTCGTCGTTTTTATGAGGTATTTCCCATCATTGTTCTTTATTTGCCCTTGATCGAAGTGGCAATTTTTCGTGCGACCACCTTCGCATTGTTTTTTTTTTGTTATTGATTGGGATTTGTTTTGAGCTTCCCCGCGGGGAGACAATTTTTTCTCATCTACGTGAATTTCATCTTTTTGCAAAGTTTTCTTTCTGCCAACCTCTGGTGTTTTCTAGCCTTCCTATGTCATCGTCAATTATTTTTTCGTCCTGAAAGTATATATCTTCCTCACTCGTTTTCGTCGGCCTTTGAAATCGAAACAGCCGAAACCCATGAGGTCTTCCTTGAAAGAAAGTGGTCTTGTCTGCCGTCCCAAATAACATATGCCTGTTGATACTTCAGCGGTTCTCTGTGGAACTCAAATGCGGGGACTGTGGATACCATATTTTACGTGCATGGTCTCTTAGTATGTGTGGCTGCTCAATTTCTTTTGTCTTGAACCAAAATTGTGTTTTTCTAGTGTCCCGGATCTGTTCTACTAAAGGAGACAATTCTGCCTTTCCGATCTAAACTCATCCAGTTTCCTCATCCTTTGCAAAAATTTCAGTTGTTATTAGTAGGTATTGGGCGGAGGTGGTGTAGTAGCAAGTGGCGGCCATCGCACGCGTGTCGCCACGGGTTTGAATCCCTCCAGGGTCGGCTAATTGGTAGCAGGCTCGTCTGAGAGGATAAAAGCACTGACTTGTAAATCGGCTGGCCTCAAAGAGTAAGGCCACACACGCATTCAAAACACCACTGTGATTTTAAATGGAAGTCGAATGCGTGGGCGCATCCCTCAGACGGGATGATCAACACCTCGATACTTATGTAGACTTTATTGGGAGGTAATGAAAGCGCCTAGAAAGGTTCAGCATAGCGAAGAAACCGCATATCGACAGTTTCAAGTAATATAAATTGCCTGACCTTCGTCGTGAGAACAGTTTCAGTGTCTTATGTACTTGATCTAACGTACATAGCACTTATGTATAGCGTGCGTGCAAACGAATAAGGTGAATATGAATGGACGATGGCCCGCAGAGAAAGGCGAGTAGACAGACCGATCGAAATATGTATAAGCAATCCAAGCGATTGGTTTATTTGCAGTGAGAATTGATCTGTCACCCACCTCACTCTTCTTCCCCTAACCTTATCCCATGTCTCCTTCCGATTTTTGCAACTCCATATAGACTTTTTTCTGATTTACACTTTTTATCCGCTTCGAGATTTTTCTTTTGCTCCGTTTTATCACTTTTTCCGACTCTGGTTCTGCCAATTGACTAATTTACATTTCTGTTACACTTCACGGTACCGCTAGAACACAGTTTAGCAAATCCTCGCACTACAGGTTACTCATTTGCAAACTGTTTTACTTCACTATTTCTTCGGAAAGCCCTTCCTTAGTGACTTTGTTCATTGATTGCGCTAATAGCCTCCATTTTCGCCAGCTAAGCCATCTCCGTATGCACTTTGGTTTCGAATGGAACTCTTAGTGGGACGTTTCAAGCAGGCTGATCAATCACGACCAATGTTCACCATGTTCTTGTCGATGTTCAAGCTCGTAATCGGTCAAGCTGCTACCTTCCCTTACAGAGTCTTACCATCCGAATATACTATGCGGCATACCTATTTCACCTTGGGTGTCGTGGGTAGTTCAGTGGGGGTAGTGGTCGCTCTCGAATCCATCCCGATAAAGGAGACGTAGTTAATCAAACGGCGGTGGCCGTAACTCTACAGGCGACTCTCGCTCCGTTCCCTAAATGTTCATGATATAGACAAACACTACAACGATTGATAAGTTTGAAGTCAGAACTACTACGCTCACTTTCACGCCACCAGTAGAAAACACTGACTGACTCCAAAACGAATCCATCAATCGTAGCGTCAATTTTGAAAAAAGAAGCGTCGAATCCGAATAAGTTTCGAGTCGGAGGAGCCCTGGTATCACTGCGAAAAGACCCCAGACCTTGCCAGTTGTCATCTTAGGGGAAAGAGAGTGTAAGGGAATTTTATCGTACAAGCTATCCACTTTCCTCGGTGGTAACTTCTTCCCTACTGTACCGTAGATTTTTGGGATTTCATTCCCTCACAGCTATGTTAGAGAGGTCCAACCTGGTTCAGCATCAACCCCCAGCTTCAGTTTATTTTCATTTATACCCATTTGCTTCTCATTTTCACTCTTCTCTCGATGATTCTCTGCTCGCCCTTGTTGGTTCCGCGTCATCTCTTTCATCTTGATATCGGGATTATGGCTATGGTGTCTTCCCCCAGTCTATCGCGACGCGTTATATTGCATGCACTGATACTTTGTTGCGGACTTTCTTATACCCTCTTTTTGCTTATGAGTTCTCACCAGGATAGCTGCTAATTCAACATCAAGCTGCGATTCCATTTTCTTTTGCGAAATTTCTCGTTTGCATTGTGGATGAATTTGGCTGGCGATTCGAGTTTTCCCAGACGTCAGTAATAAGCATCATTGATGGTGGCTTTGGTTTTGAATTAAGTTGAATTTCTTATATGAACGGAAGTCAGATTGCATGAGGTTTTTCGACCGTTGTATTGGTTGTTTTTAGTGTCATGAAATGAGATTTGAAACGAACCAAACAGCTCCAGTCATCTCCCAAACATTGCTTTGCAGCCATTTGCTTCCTATGGCATTTTTCGAAAACTACTT